GAGACCCAGAGCAGCCGCTGGGCCGCCAGAGCGCCTGGCCCACGCCCTCCGCTTCGCCACGGCTGCGGGATTGGTTCTGTCTCCTCATTTCTTCCAGAACTCTCCCCCACCACCACCCCTCCCCCTGGTGTGAAGCAATGGTAACTTGATATTGGTATTTATATTGGCATTTCTCACCCGTGTCACTAGATGTCACACACAGTGGTGCTTTGATGTTTGCGAGTCTAACCTCTGACATGAATCTGTAAGATAATAAATGGGACAAAGGGAAAGAGATACTTGATATGAAAGCCATAACGACAGTGACTTGTTTCCTAGGGACAACACGGAGCCCGCGGCTCCCTCTGCTCATGACCCTAAAGGGAAGGGAAGGGAAGGGAAGGACGGAACCGAGCCGGGCCCTCGCCCAGCGGCCCCCTCGCGTCAGGCAGCCACACTTGTCCTGGTGGTTTTTCCTTGAGCAAATGTCTCTAGAAACAGTCTCACCTTGGCCCGCTAACCGCCTGCCCCGTCCCACCCCACCCCGGTTCTCATGCGTTTTCTTTCTCAGGGTCCCCTTTGGTGGGCAGCCACCCTCCCGCAGCCGTTGTCAGCTCTGCGCCCGAGGGCTCCAAGGTCCCTGGGCTCCAGGGTGGGGGGCAGCCCCGAGGGCGGGATGCCACGCACCTGCTGGAGGGAGGACCTTGGGGCATGGGGTGGTTCCAGGAGCGCCATGGCTGAGGTTGACAGGAACCTTCTGGAATAGGAATTCCCCTTCATACTGCGGCCTCCATGCCATTGCCCTTTGCTAGACTGGGCGGTTCAAAACCGAGGAAACATTGATGAATTAGAAGCATTCCTTTTTTTTTTTTTAACTAAGATTTGCACATTTTCTTAGTATCTTTCCAAATCTTTGCCTCCTTTTTTTTCCTTTGAGAGATGGTTTCCCTTCCCAGATCCTTCATTGCACTCGGTTCCTAACTTTAGATTCACCTTCACTTGGTATTTGACTTGGTAGGTGCAACCCAACAGCACAGTGTGCCCACCCACTTGCCTCTCCACGGAAAAGCTTACAATAAATTTCTCAGCTCTGTGTCATAAAGCGCTGACATTTCCTTATTGATGAGATGCTGCACTCCCGCTCTGACGCTTCCCGCCGAAAGCAGCCTCTCAGAGTCACCCCCGCAGCAGCGGCACGGAGGGAGCTGCGGGAGAGCGGCCGCGTGGTGAGGAGTAAGCACACTGTGCAGGACTGGACAGACTCCGGGGCGATGGACTCCCTCCTCCTCTCTGCTTGCTCTGCTCTGCGGCAGCTCCGCTCGGGCTGCAGCCTGGCCCTCGGCAGTGACGCCCTCCGCACCTGTTACAGGTGGTGGTGGTGCTAGACGCAGCTCACCCCCCCCCCCCCCGGCCTGTTGTACACAGGTTCCTTGTTTTAAAATAGCTTTCATAGGGAGGCACTGTGAGTAATTCCATACAGACCACGTCAGGGTTCCTATGGAGCTTCCTGCCAGCCCTGCAGACGCAGCCGGTGCACGCCATGGCTGTGCGACCTGCACCCGCGCCATTTCCCCCTCAGCCCCAGCTCCGCTGTAAACACACTGGCCAGGTAGTTTGCAAAGATAACTTTCCCAGTCACCATACTCCACTCCCCTCCCCAGAGTGGGAGCACACTCCTCACCCATGTAGGGAAGAGCTATGTCCCTCCTGTCCCCTCACGGAGACCTGAGGACTCGAACAGCTGGTTCCCAGTCCCGTGGCTGCACCCCAGCTCTGTGCAGGCCACCTCTCGTGGGCCAGGCCTGCTCCTTCCTCCCGATGGCCGTACCCCCTCATCCCCTCCCCATCGCCGGGCTGGCTGAGCAGTCACCCTTGGTGTGCGCCCTGCTCCTCCCTCACACCCACCATGGCTGGTCATAGCACTTCCACGACTCGTGTCAGATAGGAAGTGACCGAAGCTGGGGGCCAAGACCCTGTCTGCTAAGCAGAAAAGACAAACACCCTGTTGACCCGAGAGAAGTCAACCCCAGAAGGGAGCCGAGGACCCCTTCCCTGGTGAGTATCGCCATTCTTCCGCCAAGGTTCATATGCATTCAGATCACTTTACCACATAGTACACCAGAAAGCTTTGGTCATATATGAAATGTAAACTGAAAGGAATGTAAACAGATGTATTGTTCATTATAAATAGAGCTAAGTAAGGACATAATAGAGGAAGAGGTCTTATCAGATGTATCACATTCGTTTTACATTGCCCACCGTTGTTGTCGCATGGTAGAATAGCCTTTTGTCGCTGAATATGTGAATAACTTGGACTTGCGGTTATCTTTTTACATATTTAATAAAAAAAAGTATATGTTAACATTGACTCGGATCTATAGATTCTCACAGTTTGATGCTGAAGGTCTCCTTTTGAGTGAGTATGCGGAGACGAACAGGCTACGTGTGTGGACTCACATTATAATTACACCGGGAGAGGGGGTCTTTGTTTTTATTGATGGCAAGTGTTTTGACTGGAATTACAGGCTAGTATTTGATAACAAAAGTAGCAGCTGTAATACCTTTAAAAACAAAGACCAAAAATAAACACCTGGTCCCTCGGGAAGCTCCCTGGACGGGACAGGCTGGGCAAGTGGGAACGGGGAGGCGGGCGGGGGGAGGGGGGAAGCTTGGTGGCAAAACGACGGTGATGGGCAAAAGCTCTTGGGTGACGTCTCTGTCCCTCCTCTGGTTAGTTGACTTTAATAGAAACGATTTACAGACATAAATGGAATATAAAACAAAGTTCCCGCAAATGTGTTCAGAGTTTCGATCTGATCCCAATTCACAGCTTATTCCTAGGACTCTCTTCCAATCTGGCATATTCCTTACACCAAGGGTGGGACCTTTGCCCACCAAGGGCCATATGGATATTTATAACATGATTCGAGG